AGGAAAGCCAAAAGTTAAAGCAGGATGTACAAGCTGAACTAATTAAAGGCTGGTACACCCTTCCAGATGGACGCATTGCTATTCCTCTTGCACTTGCCCGCCCACTTATTTTTCAGGCTCATAAACAACATCATTTGGGAAAAACTGCATTATTACAGCAACTTGAAAGATTTTTCTATCTTCCTTTTGCTTCTTCACTAATAGCACAAGTATGTTCTCAATGTTCCATTTGTGCTCAAACCAATGCTCGCCAAGGACCAATAGTACCACCTGGTCAACAACCAATCGCTTATTTCCCAATGGACTATGTCATTGTTGACTTTACTGATATGCCTAGGAGTAAGAAATATGTAGCCCTGCTAGTCATAATTGATACCTACTCAAATTGGATTGAAGCCTTTCCTACTGGTAATAAGAAAGCTATACAAGTTGCCAGAATCTTTCTTAAAGAAATTATTCCTAGATTTGGTTGCCCTTCTAAGATTTCATCAGATAATGGCCCTGAATTTGTACATCAGATTAACAAGGCTCTAGTCCAAGCATTAGGAATTAAATGGAGGTTTCATTGTGCTTTTCGCCCTCAATCAGCTGGAAAAGTGGAAAGGGCTAACCGCACAAGCAACCCTACCGGCAATGGGTTCTCAACACACGGTGTGAACATCAGACCTTGCTGAGACACTCCGGAAGCTGTCTCTCTACGCACGGTGGAAGAAATGAGGATTCTACAGATCACAATACCTGTTGGTTATTTAATATGGGGAATATACACACACATTCCTACACAAATCAGTGCAATGGTCACACAAGAGGTCACACTGCAAAAACCCTCTAATAGAAAACTATTAGGTACACACAAAGAAAGGACACAAACACAGGAAAATAAAAATTGCCAAAACTGCATTAAGATAACAAAACAAGGAAGCCAGATAACTACGACTTTGATTTACTATACAATGAAACCAGAAGGGTGCCAAGATAGCTCACCTAACACCTGTGCATACAATAGAACTACATATAAAGTTTGTAGAAAAGGAGCCCAAGATCAGTGTTATAACCCAAAACCTGATCCTGACAGTTGGGCCTTACAAATCCGAACACATAGAACAAGAACCAGCTCAAAAGACCAGGCACTATTAGGGATCTCTCAATGGAAATCCAACCCACACTCCAGTTTTAGCGTTACCTTTNAATCATAACTGCAACCAAAAGATCCTGACTTGGAGGACGAATAGTGGAAGTTTAAGCCAGAAAACTTCCAAAGGGGGGAATAATGTAGTAAATTGAACAATTATTAGAATAATGATTTGTCTGCATAACTGCAATAATGATGTGTCTGCATAATTGCTAGAACAATGATGTAATGCATAATCACTGGGAAAATTCACTGGGAAAGTTCTCTGTCAGTAATATGTGGCAACCAAATGTGCTCTGCACATGGATACTTTGTATGTAGCAAAACCTTCCATTGTATGCCTGTGAGAAGCGTTCCTAATGTATCACAGTGTGTATTTCAATGTGTAGCCCTTTGTTCTTTAAGGAGGGGAGTATAAAAACTGAAGTCTAATCCCGCCCTCCTCGTTCAGAATTGCCTATCTCTAATATGCTCTGAACCTTGCGCAAATAAACTTCTCTGCTAAACCCCTCTGGAATTCGTAAGAGTTCTTTCGTTTTCCACAAGACTAAGGCCAGTAAAATGAGGACCCAAATTATTGGGGGCAATAGGCTGACTCTGTAAACCGTTTCTAGAGTACAGTAAAGCACTATGAAGCTGTATATAAATTTAAATGCTACTGTGATTTTGCCTTTCTATGATACGATAAGAATAAGGAAATGTCTAAATTCAATTTAAATAAATTGGATTTATTTAAAGTTAATTGGATTCTAATTACATTTGAGTAAAATTAATTTTGGATTTAAATAAAATTAAATATTACCGGCATGGTTATTCATAAGACTTTTTAAAATTCAAGTGTAATAAAGACTGAGAAAATGACCAGACTATTGGCAAGAGAGAGATGCTAATTGCATTCTTTTTAAATTGCTTCTTAACTCTATTATCCCATTTCTTTATTTCATTAATTTAGATAAATCTCTTTGTTGTTCTTGCACTGTCACCTCCAAATCCAGACTAATCTCTTCAAACCATGGGAGTTTTCAGCTCTTTTGGCTAGAAGAAAACTGGTATTTTCTTTAGTGCAGTTGCCTTACATTGTCTTAAAAATTCCTGCTCATATTTCCTGAGGTGTATTCCCTACTGAATACCGAAATGAAACCATTTTCCTTTTTCCCCTCATGGAATTTCAGCTTTATATGTACTCAAGGTTTGCCTTCCGGCATTTTGTAATTCCACCTTTTCTCCAGTCACCTATGAGACACCATTCATTTCTCCATCACGGACCCTTGTTTTGAGGTAAAATTTCTAAAACTGCCATGGTTTGAGTTTTCTCTCCATTTTGGAACTTGTTTACTTTTGATGCCGTTTCTTCAGGATTATTCTCATTTTTGCTGCTGCCACTTGCTGTTTTGAACCACAGTTGGACGTCCAGAGGCAAGATTTTGAAAAGGCAGCTGTAATAATTGAACTCACTAAATTAAAAAAAATCAATATACGTTTTAATTTTCCTACCCCTTCACTTCCTATTTTGTGACTCTGCCAGCCCCTTTATCTCCCATCACTTCAGGACTGAGTTTGCCAACAACCACATCACACAACCTGGGCTTCAAAGTGAGGCTCCTGTTTCTTTTGGGCCGCCACAGAGATGTTGTCAATATTCACAAGATGGCAGATCGTTCTTACACATTAAAAAAGGAAAGTCTAGAAAATGTTTCCTGCTGGAGACAGGCAATGTTAGAGAGACCCTTTCCTTCTATTCCAATGCCCATCATCCCAGGCCCGCATGGAACATGATCATCTCTCCTATTCCCTTGCAGCGTCTATCTAGCGTTGCATGCAGGATCCACCAGGGGGCTCCCTGGGCTGCCGTTACAAAGCCCTCACCAGCCCCCGCTTCAGGAGAGAACTGAGCATGCGCTCTTCCAGCAGGTCGAGAGACATGCTCGGTGCATTTTCCAAAAGAGGCTGATGGTGCTTCCGCCCTTCCTACCGGTGCGATTCTGCTCTCTCTCTCTCTCTCTCTCTCTCTCTCTCTCTCTCTCTCTCTCCCCCCCCCCCCCCCCCCCCCCCCCCCCCCCCCCCCCCCCCCCCCCCCCCCCCCCCCCCCCCCCACTGCCTCCTCCCCGCTGCGAGCCTTAGGCTAAGCCTTCCCAGGAGTCCCAAAGGCTGCAAGGGAGCTTTGCACGGACGGAGATCAAAACCTGACTCCCGAGTTCAGTAAGTGGGGAGACATTTCTTTCACGGGCTGGACCGTGCATGGAGACAACCAAAATCCATCAGGTTCGGAGTCGTGGGAAGGGGGGAGCCCGGGGTCCCATGTTCCCCTGCCGCACCTGTGCATGCACGGGCCAGGCAGGGAAGAAATCAAAGCTCCGGACGCGCTGCGTTGCCTCCAGGATGAATATCAGGATCGCCAGAAAGGTCGGAGCCATTCAGGATTAGGCTAAAAGTGGGGAACCTGTTTCAAGGAGATGCGTGAATGAAAACATCATGTTAAGCTGGTTTATTGATTCGGGTATTATTCTGTTTGCACTGAATGGTGGTTTGTTGATTGTGATTTCTCAGGTAGCCATAGCAGTTTGGGCCAGGAGTTTAATGAGGTTCTGCTGGCTAAAGTTACACGGGAAGTTCAAATATTGATTGATTTACCTATTAAATCGATTTAGAAAGCCGCTCATCTCAATGGCTATTTGTGACCCGAGACATTTATGATCTGGATTGTACAGAGGTTGCTTTTCACGCTGCAAGCAGCCATCAAAATTATTTGAATAAATGAGTAGGAATAAGAAATCAAAAACATATTTTAAATTTATGTATCCAAATTGTTTAGTCCTTGAAAGAAGTTGATCCAGAAGGTTACTACAGATTTTTTTCCACACAGAGATACGTCACTACCTACAAAGATTTCACCTCTCTTCCCAGATATTGGTGGGTTCATAAGAATTTCTTCTTTCAGATTTTGTGTGTGCTCAGTTGTTAAGTTGGTCAGCCTGTATTTCTGGAATTTTCTTTTGTTTTCCATTTCAGATATATAAGTTGGAAATCTTTCCTGATTGCTCTGGAGTCTTAAATATCTTGTGTGCGAAGAGGGCTAATCCTAATTGACCTTAGCAGATTTTGACAGACTTCTTCTGATTAGAAAGACCTGTACAGATCCATCAGTCTGTTTTGGAGCTGGATTAGAGATCAGAGAGAAGATGGAGGGACAACGCCCACCTGGAAAAAGCTCTGCAGTTGCTCAGTCTTGGAGCTGTGAAACGAATGGGGCAACTCCTGGGCACAAGAGCCAAGAAGATGAAGCCAAGAGTTCAGAGGTCCAATGCTGTCACTTCAGAAAAGTGCAGTTCCAGGAGGGGAGGGGACCCCGAGATATTTGCAGTCAGCTTCACCGCCTTTGCTGTCAGTGGCTGCAGCCAGAAATACACACAAAGGCCCAAATGCTGGACCTGGTGCTCCTGGAGCAGTTCCTGGCTTTCCTTCCCCCAGAGATGGAGAAATGGGTGCGGGAGTGTGGAGCAGAGACCAGTTCCCAGGCGGTGGCCCTGGCCGAAGGCTTCTTGCTGAACATGGATGTGGAAAAGATGCAAGAAGAGTTCCAGGTGTGATAATATAGTCTTAACAGGTCTAAAGAGGATCTCTCTGAATTTGTCAATTCATTCCAGTTTTCTGGATTATTGTCAATTTCTTTCTGTCAGAGTTTTCTGGGATTATTAACTCCTAAGGCTATTTGTTCTATTCTTCCAGAGGATGTATTTGGGGCAATTCTTCCATTCCGTTTCGGGTTTCAACAATGGACATTGGTGTCTACTAGTTTGAAGGTGCAGTATGAAAATTCATTTCTATCTCTGTGCTCTTCCTTTGTTTCTCCTATCATATCACGTCCAGAAATCCTTGGAAGCTACGACTGAGTATCCCAAGGGGGGGAAAGTTTCATCCAAACCCTCTCAAGAGCTGCTATTTGAGGAGAACTTCCAGAAAGGTCAAAGTCAGGACATCACACCAGGTAACAGAAGGTCTTTCTGTGCGATGTGAGATTTCAACATTTAGCTGATTCTTTAGCTGCACATCATTACAATCTCTCTCTTTAACAAATCTCCTTCCCCCATTTTTCTCTGTCTCACAGAGAGTGGAAAGCTGTCTGTGGAATTTGTAGACTCACCTCCTCTTTGTGGTGGAGCTGAAGGATTGGCTGAACCTCTACTTCAGGTAAAGAGGAGAAACGTCGGAAAAGGTCCATGAATCTTGGATGGATTTCATTTTGTTCTAGAGTTCAATGTATAAAATTTCATTTTGTTCTAGAGTTCAATGTATAAAATTGCTGTTTCTAAGCAATATAAATTTGACATCCGGTCATTGAACATTCATGCTCAGCTTAGTCTACCCTCTCTCTTCTGGGGGGATCCTTTGTGAGATGCTTTCTCCTCCTGACCAGACAGTTGTGAGCATTGGGGCTGTTCCTTCGTCTCCCAGGGTCATTCTCACATACCATTACAAAAAAATCCTTATTTTGCCTTTTGAAAAGCATCTTTGGTGATTGAGAATCTAAGTGGATATAAGACCCAACTACCAATTGACCAAGAAAACTATTTTAGTTGGCTAAGCTGAAAAGCATTCCAAATACCTCCAATTAGATCCAATCTGCTTCAGTTATGTCATCAGCCAAAAGCGGTGAGATCTCACTCTGAATTCTGCAGAAGATGCCCATTTTGTTCACTGGATCTCTTTCCTAGAATTAATGGAAGAAAAACCTCAAATTATTCTTGGGATTATCTGTTAATAGGGAAATTTCTTTTCTTCTTCAGGATGTTGTGTCTTTTGAGGAAGTGGCCGTGTATTTCTCCAAGGAGGAGTGGTCTCAGCTGGACCCTGCCCAAAAAGCTCTCCACGGAGAAGTCATGCTGGAGAATTCCAGGAATCTGGATTCTCTGGGTAAGAATCCCTGTCTGTGCTCGGAAACATAGAGAAGTCATGGGGTGGGGGCTTAGATGATATTTCTGATAAAAACATTGATACTCTGCCTTTATTTTTGTAAATAATAAAGCTAGCGAACAAACCCCAATATTCCTTCCTCCTGCTGTTTTCCCCACAACAACAACCTTGTGACCTGGGTTGAGCTGAGGGAGACTGACCCAAAGTCACCCAGCCAGCATTCATGCCTAAGGCAGGACTAGTACTCCCAGTCACCCAGTTTCTAGCCTGGTGCCTTAATCGTTTGACCAAACTGATTTTATGGAAGAAGGAAATTTATTGGAAGAAAAATTGGAAAACTGCCTTGCCTTCCTTTTTACATAAAGGAAATGGTTTGTTTGTTTGTTTTTTTAAAAAACCGCTTTCTGCTCATAAAATACAAAATATTCATTTCCATGCCATAGAAGATATTAGCCAGAATATGTGGGAGAGGCTCCATGCAGGGATGGTGTAGCCTTTCTTGAGCAAAGGTCCTGCCTACCAGGGGTTCAGTATCCACTCCTGAGCCTGGTCACTGGCTCCCTGATGGGTGTGAGCTGCTATAAGCAGGACTGGATTTAGCCCTGAGAGGGATGTTCCCTTCCTAGAGATGTGCCCACTTGTGTACAGAGTTTAACAGCCTAAGTTGAGGGTGGGGAGCTATTGCCATCCAGGAATTTCCCTTGGCTTTGAAAGATTCTGTTCTGCAGACAAGTGGGGATGAGACTTTCATTGAAGTTCTGGACTGGGTGGATATGTTGCTAACCCAGCATGATACAGTATTCTGTGCACTTAGGGAGTACACGGAATTATGGAATAGTCCCAGGTCAAAGATTAGATCAGGAAGAAGAGGTTTGATTGTTCCCCTATTCTTGCTACAGTTTTCATTTTCATTTTTCAAGGCTTTAATGGGCAAGAAAATAAGAATTGCAAGGAAGAATGCCAAATGATCCATTCAAAAGAGGGAAAAGGGAAGTTTCCAGATCAGATACAGCCAAAGAGTGATGAAACAAAGAAATCACAAAGTGGAATGAAAAAAGGCTTTCCGAGGGTCAGTTGGCTTCATAACCATACAAGCATTGATACGAGAGAAGAACCATATAAATGCATGGAGTGTGGAAAGAGCTTTAATAAATCTGATCATCTTATTTCCCATAAAAAGACACATTTAGAAGAGAAACCATATAACTCCAGGGAGTGTGGAAAGACCTCCTGTAATTATTACTGCCTTACAGGTCATGAAAGAAATCACAAAGGAGAAAGACTTTATAAATGCATGGAGTGTGGAAAGACCTTTACTTGTAGCAGTGGTCTCAGTTACCATAAGAGGATCCACACTGGAGAGAAGCCATACCAGTGCCTGGAATGTGGAAAGACCTTTACTTGTGGCAGTCATCTCAATACCCATAAGAGGATCTACACTGGAGAGAAGCCATATCCATGCATGGAATGTGGAAAGACCTTTACTTGTAGCACTAACCTCAATTCCCATAAGATGGTCCACACTGGAGAGAAGCCATATCAATGCATGGAATGTGGAAAGAGCTTTACTTGTAGCAGTCGTCTCAATTCCCATAAGAGGGTCCACACTGGAGAGAAGCCATATCAATGCATGGAATGTGGAAAGACCTTCTCTTATAAGCACTCTCTTACAATCCATCATAGGACTCACAAAGGAAAAAGACCTTATAAATGCATGGAGTGCGGAAAGACCTTTACTCGGAGCAGTAATCTTAATTCCCACAAGAGGATCCACACAGGAGAGAAGCCATATCAATGCCTGGAATGTGGAAAGACCTTTACCTATAGCGGTAATCTTAATTCCCACAAGACGGTCCACACAGGAGAGAAGCCATATCAATGCATGGAATGTGGAAAGAGCTTTACCTGTAGCAGTAGTCTCAGTTCCCATAAGTGGATCCACACTGGAGAGAAGCCATATCAATGCCTGGAATGTGGAAAGTCCTTCTCTTGTAATTACTCTCTTACAATCCATCATAGGAATCACAAAGGAAAAAGACCTTATAAATGCATGGAGTGCGGAAAGACCTTTACTCGGAGCAGTAATCTTAATTCTCACAAGAGGATCCACACAGGAGAGAAGCCATATCAATGCATGGAGTGTGGAAAGACCTTTACCTATAAAAGTAATCTTAATTCCCACAAGACGGTCCACATAGGAGACATGCCATATAAATGTGTGGAATGTGGAAAGGGTTTTAGGTGGAAGTGTGCTCTTATCTCCCACAAGAGAAGCCACACAGGGGAGAAGCCATATCAATGCATGGAGTGTGGGAAGAGCTTTGCCTGGAGTCACACTCTTTCTTGGCATAGAAGGATCCATCCATACACGGGAAAAACCATATCAATAAAAGAAGTGTGAGAAGAACTTTGAAAGAAAAATTTAAAAACTGCACATGTTTCCTTTTTTGTATAGAAAATGGATTTCTTTCACAATGCTTTCTGCTGATAAAATACAAAATACTCATTTCCATGCCACAGAAGATATTAACAGGAATCTGAGGAGAGGGTTGCATACAGGAATGGTACGGCCTCTCTCCTTCCCCCTCAAGAATGGGCCTCTTACGGCAGCCTCGGTAAAATGTTCTCTGATAGCTTTTTGGTTTTTTATTCTCTGTGATTCGCTTTGCGTTTCATGTTCAAGAGACTAACTGTTAAGCATCAAGCAATGTTTTTTTAATGGGCAGCTTTCTGTGGCTATCGCCCCCCATCTTTATAAATGCAGAGGAGATTGTCATCAAGGAAGTGGCAGCTCTAAAAAATGGAAAAACAAAAACCAAAGGAGGAGACAACAGGCGAAGAAGGGGTAAGCGAGCAGGGATTTTGAATAGACTAAGGAAAAATGGAATAAAAACCTCTTCCTTCACTCTTTTGCTAATAAGATGGATTAAATACTTCTTTTAAAGAGATGCAACTCTGATTTTTACTACTCAGCCACCCTCTGCTTTACTGAAACCTGGCTAAATGAGTCAGTTGATGATAGCAGCTTGCATTTCCCAGGATTTCAGATACAGAGGGCGGACAGAATTGCAGAAACATCCGGTAAAAAGAAAGGAAGGGCGTCTCTGCTTCTATATCAATGATCGATGGTGTAAAAATGTAACCACATTAAAGAAATTCTGTGATGTGGACTTAGAGACATTGATTATCAACTGCAAACCATTTTATTCTCCACGAGAGTTTTCCTCGTTCATTCTGTTTGCAATGTATATTCCTCCAAAACTTGAATAAACAATGCACTACAAACTCTAGCTGACTTGATTATGTGGGCTGAAGACAGATACGCAGATTCGCTCCTTATTGTGTTAGGAGATTTCAACAGTGCTTAACATAAGCCAAGACCTACCAAGATACTTTCAGCATGTCAATTGCCTTACTAGAGGCAAGAATACTTTAGGGGACCCTCCAACTCCTCGCCCTGCGAAGACCACTGCCTCCCCCTCCCATTAAATGGGCCTGCTAGAGAACTTAGGTTAGAAGGGCAATACTGCACTCTTTCTCTCTCTTGGTCCCTTTAGCCTCAGTCTTGGATCGAGACACATATACTCTGTTTGCTACCTCCAGGAAGTTTTCTATCATATCGGAGGAAGCGCCATCTAAGGCAGTGACAACTAGATCTTGAAATGCCTTCAAGTGTTCATAATGCGGGCTGTTATAGCTATCAATAGACCATTTAGGGTCAGTTTTTGAAAAAAGGGCCTTTCTCTCGGGTCATTCCATGTCAAGTGGTCTGATTTCAGAAAAGTGCCGTGCTCGACCATCACGGATTTTGATGAAATTTTGTGTGAACATGCACATATGTCCCCAATGAACATTGGTAAAGTGTTACATTTGCCGATGCAATACTTGCGGAGATATAGTCATTTGTTTGACCCCATACCGCAGCCTTCTACAGTGTGACTCTGAGATTCCAGCAACTTTGAGACATAATATCTCCGGCAATATTTGTTGAGGGAAACGAACTTGGTCATCTTGTACAACTTTTTGTGCTCTATTAAATAGAGCAGTCACTATTAAATGTCTCTCTTCTGATGTAAGGAAAATATCTAACGTGGCCTGTAAGTCTGCCCAATTGGGGTTGTAGGTATGGATAATGGACAGGACCAGATCCGTGTATTTATGTGGGGCTGCTGTATAGGAACCAAGCCTGTCCTTCCATGCACAGAGTTCTGAAGTGGAAAAGGGAGTATAAACTTACTAGGACCTTCTGGGTATCCCCTCTTCCGATAGCAACATGTTCTGTAAGGGAATAAAGTCCCTTATAAGAAGGGGGTACTGAAGAAGTATAAAGCCTGAGCGCTGGAGAGCAATTTCCTTGCACGGTCCAAAAAAAGCACATCATAAGCTTGCTGATCCTTCTCCAGGCCTCTTTGGGCATAGTCCCCCATAGCCTCAAAGACCCCCAAGTCAATTGATCATCCTGGAGGCTATACATTAGGCATATCCTGATGCCAAAGAGCATTGTATTTAACGAAGATTTCAGCTTTCATATTCCAACAGATTTTAAGCTTTAAAAAGCTCCTTACCACACTTTCAAGAGGGCTGAGGGCACATTCCTTATTCTTACTCATCTTCATTTCATATTTCCCCTGTACTGAGCCCATGTGTTTAGGTCATTTAAATCCC